ATTTTTTTCTTTTTTTAGGTCAGTTCAAATTTTTTTTTGTAAGTTGGGTTCAGATTCTTTTCTTTTTGTAGGTTGTTTCAGTTTTGTTGCTTCAGAGTCTTCTTTTTTTGTAGGTCAGTTTTGGATTTATTTTGTTGTTTTGGTTTCTTTTTCATCAGATGCTTCATAATTCTTTTCATTTATGTAGGTCAGACATTCTGGAGTTCTCTTTCTTTTTTTGTAGGAATACTGACCTTTGGTGACTTGGACGATTGCAGATACTATATGAAGGGGGGTTTTGTTTCCAATTAAGTTAGACGTTCTTATGTTTCTTTTTTTGTTTTTTTTTAGGTTGTTTGACTCCAAATGAACCTGAACTTATAGATAATTTTGGTTGCAATAGGTGTAATAAGAAGGGAATTTTCATAATGTATTTGTATTTTGTTTATTTTTTATTTTTTATTTAATTTAATAAAGTAAAATTAGATTTATATAAATATAATTATAGTAAACTGTAATACTGTACAAATAGTAAATTCAGTGACCATAATCGTATAAATTTCGTGATAAAATCAGTGATCAAATCATGTAAATTCCATATGAATTCCGTGCAAATTCCGTATCCAAACCATATTTTTAGTGATACGGAATTGTGCATTTTTCCGTATCCTATTATGATACGTTATTTCTAAGGAAAAAAAATCGTATAAAAACTTTATAAAAAACGTATCCAATTTTTTTATAGGGTTGTAATTCCTATGGTATTTCGGTACGATTTGCAATTGGCATCGTACCCATCGTACATGTACATAATTAATCTTACTTATTATATCATATCGTACCATACTACTTTACTATATATCGTAATTGGACGTCATATAAAAAAATCGTACTGTACTGACTCTATAATATATAGTATATATATATAGGACAAGTACGGTACTTCGGTAGGAAATTTGATTAACCGTAAAGCGTACGAGATTTTTAGAAATGGAAACACGGAGGGAAGTGATGAAAAAATCACGTAAATTTTCGGGATATTTTTTTATCAAGCTGCGCCAATGATCTTTATTATAAGAACCAATAATGTTACAAAGTTATAAACGAGCTGTTAAGTGTAGAAAAGTTGTTTTGATGAATTTCGTATTATATTGAGATGTAAGTTGTCAATTACATAAAACAACATGGCAGAACTAGAAGTCTACTTTGATCTTAATGTTAGTATGGTCAGACGTTGGATTATAAAGCAAGCGTGGATTAGACAACCGAGAAAAATGGCAAAAGAAAGAAATTGGTAATAAGTGACGAAAGTAATATTATTTCAACTATAATTACATTTATTATATTATATGTCTGGTTAAATTTTTACAAGGGATTTTCAATAAATTTTACAGTGTGCTTATTTTATGCTTTTTCGGAATGTGCTTATTTTCGGTAAAATGCGGTATTCTGCCAGTTTGACTTATGTAAAAACTAAAGCAATGTTGAGTTTTTCTTCCATCTGTTCTAAATTATGTACGTATCATTTGAGATCCTGTATAAGCCTATGAACGATAAATTATTTTATAGGATAAAAATTACAAACATACGTACTGTAATTTTTGAAATTTCCATATTACGTTTGTTTACACGTGATAATCTGCAAATTTTTAAGAACGATCCAGTAACATTCAAAAAAAAAAAATTCCGCAAAAACGGAGTTGTAAAATTTGAATACTAGATACATTAATAATTAATTCAAGTAATTATTTTAATAGATACAACAAGAATTCTAACATTAATTATTATTTTCCAAAATACTTATATTTATAAAGCAGGAAACGAATTTAGCATACAGAAGTTGTATAGGATCATAAGAATTCCTATAATTATGGATTTTGAATTTGTAAGTTGCAAAAATTAAAATTTTCCAACTAGAAGAGATCAAAAGAAAAAATTTTTAAGTGTTTACTTTATATTTATAATAAATTGAATCATTTTATGGTCAAAATATTTCAAGCTTTTAACAACTGAAGCTTTAGGAGTTGCAAAATTATTGACGAAGTTTTTTTCAAATTCAAAGATTTCGTATTTACAGTATACCATATTTTTTTTTACGAAGTAATTTTCTTTGATGAATGCTTTTCACTTTTATAAAATTTTTTGTGTATATATCGCATCCCAGAATGTTACATAATTAATTTCCTAATGTCAGCCACCTTTCCAATCGATTAATGAAGTGCGGATGAAAAGAGTTCAGCAAAGTCGTTCGTCAAAATTATTTAGCCGTTAAAATTATTGAAATACTTTCATTTAATTGCACTTCTATGTTTTATCATAAAATTCCTTTTTTGCTACCCCAAATATTCTTTGTATATTTTCAATCGGCGAAATGCACAATCGCTATAATGTGATAGGTTAAATAAATGGTAAATAGTGGACAAAAATCACATAAAATAATATCATAATGTGAAATTTAATTTTAAAACAAATAAATGTATCTATCAATTTGAGGACCAATGCCAAATTTTAAATTTGCGATAGATAAGACTTTTCCTTCTTCCAATTTTGGTACATAGCATGGTTTTTCTTCGTCAAGAGGGTAAAACACTGTAATATATTAAATATTTGGGTAGACTATATTCCGAAATATAAAGAATTGTTGAGAAAAAATAATTTTTTGGATTTCCCATACGACAAAAAAAAAAATCCTTACTGTTTACAAAGAAGCGAAACGAGCAATTAAAAAAACATCTTTGTTAAAAATTATATATAGTGGTCATAAATTTGCCAATGTTAAAATCTTGTATTTGATAAAAAAATCTCTACATAATACATAATCTGCTGAAAATTCTAAACAAATAAAAAGAAGAAAATTTCTAAGTTTACACGGGGTGTTTGTACACGGGTCATATAAATATAATTTTTAATAGATTAATTTTTTGTTTTTTAATTTGAAATTGAATGCTACCGACATTATACTCTTTTACTTTTTATTCTTATTATATTACAGATAAATATATGTATTTTCACCTGCTTTGCAATTTTACTTAAGTCATTAAAGTAGGTTTTTAATGCTTTTTTTAATCTACTAATATGACCCGTGTTTAAACACCCCGTGTACAAATAGAAATTGCCTAAAAAGAAATTATATACAACCTCCAAAAAATTTTATAATCAACCGAACATTGAAATTAGTATTACAAAAATGGTATAAGAAAAGATGATACGATTCTTCGAATTTTTCATATCAAATTTCTGAAAAAATACTCCTTTACGCATATTTAATTGACATGGCTGGATACACATTTTTATTTACTATTTATTTATTAGTATCTGGCAAATTTATTACTAATATTATTGCATCTCTTGCACTGATCCCCTTTCCTATTACAATGGTAGGTTTTATTTATTTATAAATTTGCTTATCATAAATATCAATTTTTTTTTACATTCTACTTCATTTATAGTTTTACAGTAAAACAATCTTACATGGAATTTCATTTCTTGTAGTACATTCCTTTCCGACGTGTTCCTTTTTTACACGCAAAGAAACTCTTGTTTGGAATTACCATCAGAATTTTGCTTCTTTCTGACAAATGCAGCATTCTATACATCAGGCGTACTCTTACTTATATTTTTAATTATATCCACGATATTTTATTGCTATCATCTTTGGTCAAAAAAGTAATTTACACCAATACTTTATATTTATATTTCACATATGTAATAAGTAGTAAAAAACTTACAAAATTTGTATAATTAATTAGGATATGGCCTATAAGACATAAATATCATACATAAATGATAAAGAATAAGTAAGTGAATAACAATTACTAGTTCTTTTATCCACAAAATCCTAATATTTTTTTTATTTATTATTTAAGCATGAATGCTACTATATACCAAATATAATTCCCAATTTTCCATGCGAAAATCATGATTATAGGATTGTATACAATTTTTTATATATATACGGTTTGGATTATAAGCATATTAGAAAAAAATCTACATGGTATGAGAATTATTAATTTTTTTGTCCCATTAAATATCGTAATTATATATTATGCGTATTTGATGTTGAAGGGGGTAAGTATCAAAAATAAATTATTAACTATAAAATTTGTCATAAACTTTCTTAATAACATATTTTCTTTACTATTAGGTAAGAGATGAGAAAAAATGGATGATATACATCGTATATTTTGGGAACATTTTTCAAGCCATCCTTTTATATTATGCAACGAAAGATATTTGCTATAGTTCTCACTCTTTGTTTTAAATATGACGCATTTTTCGATGTGTTTTGTAGTTTAACAGTAATATCCTGGATAACATTGATTTTATCCACATGGAATTCGATCAGATGTCAAAGAAATTTCGGGTTGCATCTTGGACAATTTCGTGAGTACTGTAAATTTAATCTATTGAATACTCCTTCCCTCTTTGATAGCATCATATATTTCACTTGCTTCTCTGATATTATTGCTCTAAAAATTATTAATAAAGACTTACCCAAATTGGGGTTCATTTTTTTATCGCATTATGCATTAATTACATTATTTATACATATATTATTGAAAATTTCTATGCAACTCCTATATTTTTAAAAATGTAAACCATATACTCTAATTAATGAATATGTCACCTTTTCTCGAATATAAGATTCTACGGATAGAGACTGGAAAGTCACAATGTTTTTTCGAGATGATATGAAAATATATTGGTCTCCAGCACTTTGTCAACTTCTTCATAATTATCAAAAAACTCTATAAATGTCGTAAAACCCAACTCTTTAGAGTCCAATAAAGCCTTGATTGCTTTCTTTCCTACTTCATGATGTAATTGCTTTCGGAGTAGTTGTGCAGTGTTAACTACACGAAAAAGAAGTTAAAACAATAATCCAAAGCAGAATTAAATAACTCATATGAAGCAAATAATGAATACCTTCAAAGGATTGTCCGTTAAGAAAATCATCCGCCACAGTCTTTAGCTCTACAATTCGACCACAAACCAATTCGTATAATTTTTTTGCCTCTACTTCATTGATCTTGCGTTTCTCAGTTAAATATTTCATTGATTCTTCGTTGCTAAGGTCTCCAATTTCAATCACTGGATGTTTCGCACGTAACCAGCACTACGAGCTAAAATAAGAATTATGATCAGTAAGTAATACTATTTTCAAGAGCACAAAAAGTGCCAGTACTTACACTCCATTCTTCCTGAGACACTTCCTTCACTGCTGACAAATACTGTATTCTCGATGATCAGTACTCATTTTAGCATCATCTTGAAGAGTATCAAGAACTTTGGGATTTGTATTAATCAATCTGCTGATATTGTCATAAACGATGACTGGAAGTTTATTGTGCTTTGTTTTGTACACTGTGCCAGAATTCTTGAAGGCTTCCAAGGCTCTTCTCCACTTGGGACGCCTATCAGCTTCACCTATAAAAAGAAACATTGGGATCAAAAGCTTCAGTTGTAAAGGATAATAATGATTAACTTACCATTATCACCTAATATTTTCTTCATAAGCTGTGCCGTAAAAGAAATATGTTCCTCAAATCTAAAATTAAGAGATTTCCTAAATGCTTTGCCAAAGTGCTCTACATCTTTATCTTCAGTATCAGAAGGAATTTCAACATATATGACACCCATTCCGCCCTGTATACCCTTGTCCTTATCCTGCCCTACTTCCCTTGATGCAATTCTGGTTAACGTAGTTTCCCGGTCCCATGTTCACCGCAGACCACATGATAAAATGATTGATTCCTATTCGGTTGAAAAATTTTTTTAAGGCGTTCTACAACTAAAGGTCGAGGAACAAGCTCATCATCTGAAATATCAATTATAGGCCGAGTTCCTTTTTCCACGGTCTTGTTAAGAAGATGGGCGTTATACTTGTTTTTACGCCAAGCGTATATTATATCTCCTGGTATAAAGATGCTAATAATAGAAATCAAAACGTACACCACAATGGGAACGAAAATAGACTCTTCAAAAGAGGTGTGGGGGAGAAGTGAAGAGTTTATATATGATTTCGAGAAATATAAACAAAAAAAATGATGTAACGTCAAAAGTATGGATACAAAGATAAATATAAATATATATTTTTTGCATTGTACTCGATGGTTAACGAGATGGAAGAGCTGTATGATTTTAGAGGAAGACATTAGAAACGAATTTAATAATTTGAACTATGTCGAATTCAATAGAGGTTTAAGAGAGTTTCTGTGTACCTTTCTGAATACATCGGGACTAATAAGATAGACTCTTGAACTCCTGATTGCTTGTTATGACGCAGCAAATAATATAATTCCCTCAAAAAAAATAGTAAAAAAAGTAATTTATCAGTATTCAGTACGTGGGATATTTATTATTTCTTTTGTCGTACGACTGACCGTATTTGACAAATGTGGCTTGTGTGATCTTCGTGCAACACAGATTTAGCGCAGTAAATTAGTACAATAAAAAAATTCAAATATGGTTTATAAATGATTGTTAAATGTAGCACCTTGAATTTTTTATCGCGCACGTTAAAATGCAAATGCATAGAACAATTATGCAAGTATATGTTTTAAATATAACGCAACATTGAACAAAGAACTCTCGTTTTTTGTTGAAGAAAACGATCTCTTTTTAACTATATTTGACTCAACTTCTGGAAATTACCTACACCATAATGTACGTGTTGAGGTTAGAAAAAAGGATACAATGCACGAAGGATTAGAAAGTAAACTGTTATTAATAAAAACATTAGAATTTACACAGCTCAAATTCGTTCTCCTTCCATCCGATATTGCCGCAAGCCCGCAACATCACCACCACAAATACAATTTCCTAATGCTTTTGAAAGGCTAATGGATTCCAGACTTCAATTTCCAGTACAAGAAAGAGAAGATACGAAACATGATTTGTTGAGTGTTTAACTAAGGCTATCTGGTATATTGATCCATATTTGGAAAAATTGCGTTCAAGTGGATGTCATCTTCCTTCATTATTTAACTCTCTTCCAGTATATCAGCAAGATGGTGTCTATAATGAATACTATCAAAGAATGAAGGAAAAAAAACATAGCTTATACGCTTAGAACTTTTTCATTTAGCTAATTCTATAGAACTTTCTCTAGCTGAACCGTGGGCATGCAAAGCTTCTTGGCAAGAAGTTGTATCAAATGTTTTTGAAGTCACAACAATGATGAAAAAGTATAGTGATCATCTTGAAGCTACTAATAATAATATGAAACGTATTCATGAAAGTAAAAATCCAGCGCGTGAGCTATCTTCCAATTGTAATATTCGTCTTATTTCTATACATGTTGGAGAAATTGATGAGAGATACTCTGGACTAGATTCTGATCTTAAGAATAAAGAATTATTTGGTTTTTTGATCTTAATCAGAATGTACCAAACGATCCTATAAAAAAGCATAATTTTATCCGAGATATTCAATTGTCTGTACCTGCAGGATTGTATCAGTAAGTTTTTAGTAATTCTATTCTTTAAATAAGAATTATTTTATTGAAATATCTGTATTTATTCTAGGCATTCACATGGAAAGTATCTTAGAACTCTTAACTTTATATGGAGAGCACCTGATACTGAAGTAGCTTGTGAATATTATGAAACTACAGATGATTACTCGTATAAATGATATTATATCAATATATTGTACTAGACAGATGAGGAAAAATGTATGTTGTATCGTAATTTAACTGGCGATGCTTCATTGGCAAATGATCAAATAAGTAAAGAGATGAAAGAAAGACTGCGTCCTATGATGTCACTAGGGGATCCTTCAATAATAATTGATTTAAGAACTAATAATGGATTTCAAGGATCAAAATTTGATATGTTTTGGAATGAATTTGATGGATATTTTAATGAGGTAATGATAAATATATTTTTGTGTTATACAATTCACGATCAAATGTTAATATTACATTTGTCTATTTCTAGCATAATAATACTGTTATTAATGAACGCCGAGCAGATACTGTTGTGTATATTTTATATGTTATATATATTCGAGAGTTACGAGATAGAGTTATTGCTCGTTTAAATATGAAATACCAAGGACCACCTCTGCCTGATGATGATGTAGTTCCATCAGAAGAATGGATAAGATTGAATTTTGCGCTATCTAATGCATATGCTACCAAAGCTATGCATTACAGGATGTTTTAATGTAAAATATAAGGTGCAATCCCGATTATTACAAAAATCTAGTGAAGATGAGCATTGCTGCCGCATTATATTTAAGTATGAACGAATTTAATTTAATATCAAATATCGAGATTATGCATGTTTTATCTCAGCAGATGATAAACATAAGGTACCAAATGGTGAGGGTGTACCTGTATCTACAAGTGTTCATAATAAAAAAAACTTTGACATCAACTGAAGGAAAAATTACTGAAGCCGATCATGATGACTTTACCAAGTTATCATTAACTCCATCTGTTACACTATTTGTTAATATACCAGATAATATATCTGAATCCTTTTATGATGGGAAAGTGTATGTATGTTATAAGGATACAGTTTTTCAGCCAAGTAGTGCTTTAAGGAATTCAACAGAATTTTTTAATCTTGTGAATCAGCAATATCAAAATCAACCTTTACCTTCAATTTTATCACTTTATACTGATGGAAGTCCTGACCACAGATGTACCTTTGGATCCGTTCAAGTAGCTTTAATATGTTTATTTTTAGCAAGTGATTTTGATATGTTAATTGCAGTTAGAACAGTTCCACATCACAGTTGATGTAATCCTGATGAAAGAATTATGAGCGTTATTAATTATGAACCACAAGGTGTTGCTATAGGAAGAGACGAACTTAAAGATGAGTTTGAAACTTTAAAAACATTAGAAGATATACGTGAAAAATCAAAAGATAATCCAAACTTAAAAGCAGAATTACAAAAATGCATTACAATTCAAGAATTAATTCGTGAACGTACAAAATATTTATTTGGAAAAATGAAACATTTGAAACTGATGATCCTGCATCAGACTTGGAAATTAATGAAATGTTTGAGGTAAATTTTCTTTTATAATTTATAAAGATATATGCATTATTATTTTAATATTCTATTATTTACAATTTTAGGAACCAAATTTTTTTTACGACTAGCTCGCCTAGTTCTCTTGTCCTTTTCGTAATATTATTTTTTTCTTCCTATCAATATGAACTCAGTTGACACAACCAACAAACTTCATACCAATAACCGAAAACCTCTTAAAGAATATACTATCCTATAAAAAATATTGTCCAAACGCTGTTCGGTTTTTTGTTCGGAAAATCGACCCCATTCCGAACATTTACTTGACATTTATTGGACATTCATCATGGTATTGTACGTTTTTTATGTGGTTAAAAATTCACAATCTCCACATCTTGTATTAAATTGTAACAAATATTGTATAATAGCGTGCGAGTGTCCGGAAAATTGACCCCATTCCGAATATTTATCGGACGAACATTTTTTATAGGGTATATGCCACATTGACTAATAATGAAACAACACAACAACAAATGCGTAAACACAAGCCTCTGGTTGAATTTATTGAAACTCATTGTCAAGAAAGAGCATACTCTTTTCAGGTGATAAAGATAGTAACATCATAAGAAGAATTTGTTTAATTCTAACTTTTATAGTTTTTTTTTAGATAAAAAAATGTAATCAAGCTACTTACAAAATACGTTATCCTATTAGAATGCCCATTGACATTTTCCTGATCCAGTACCATCACGAGGTATTTTGATAATTTTACAAATACATTATAGAATTATATTAACAAATATTATTTATGAATTAACATTTGCGAATTTATATGGTAAATCTATAACAGAAAAATTCCGTTCTTCCCCAATCAATATGGAGTCTAAAACTAGGTCAGCACAAAGTAATGTACTTGTTTCTGCTAAGATTAGAGATTATACAAAATGTAATTCTTACGGAAAAACACGATGTCTATATAGTGATTCACGATTAACAGAGCTCAAGCTCGGGCGCGTGATTCATGTGTGGCTAGTAAGTGTAGCTATGGAAATTGCACTACGCAGTTATCTTCAATAATTGTTGACCGTTGGCCTAAATTAACTTCTTTACTTAACCCTAAGGTCAACACTAACTCCAAAGGCAAAAGTTTCAGCCTAAACTAACCTTCCTTACCTAACCCTAAGATACTCCAACGTCAGCATTATCTTGAAAAAGGATGGGTACATTAGTACTTTAGATGATATTGGTTTATGGTTAGATAGCAAAATTAATAATTTAGATAGTAATACCGAGTAGCGGGAAAGGAACTGCCATCACATGGGCAGGCTTTCCCCCATGAAACATCCTGCTACTCTATCATTTTTTACTTCGTATTTATTACTTTGCAAAAAATATAATAAAGACATTTGAATTTTTTAATGTATGTGCGTATTTTATAAATGCATAATAGCTTTGCTAATATATTTGTAAATACAATATAAATTTTGTGTTCCTACAACAGTAAGCATAATTCATTTCAAAGAAATCTTATTCCTAACGAATAAACATAAATACAAAAATGCAGAGCTATTATAGTAATTTGGTAAGCCTATCGTCTGGGTCAGTCAAGGGTATTTTTCGTGATAAGAATCAGCTTTGTGGTCTTCCACATTCACGTGTTTGGAATCAACTTTAACACAATAAAGGTTGGGCATGCAAAGTCTTCTTGTAACGCAATTTTTTTGATCAGTAATCTCACACTCATCAAAAGTCCACGCAGTTACCACAGAATTTTCTTCAACAGGCACACCATCTCCCAATAGTTGTACGACATTCTCCCTTTTCTCGTAATTTGATTTCTCGAGACCATATGTAATATATGCCCGAGGGATTAGACCAAGGATGTTACGGAGTCCCAACTTAACGAGCAATTGCTCAAATTCGCGTAGGAAAACAAAGAACTTTTCACTCTGCATAGTCTCCTCAATATAAGTATTTGTACCATATCGATATTCGAAAGCTTGAAGTTTACTTTCCTCGCTGAGGTAGTAGCTCGATCCTGTGAATGACGTAGTAACTTCATTCACGTCAACTGCCTTTGTGACTATGTGTGAATCTGAATAATAGGGTTGCTCCAGCATAACTTCATTTGGCTTTAAATTAAAATGACGGTGAACAAGACATAATCCCCAAGTAGCTTGCATAGTATGTTTGAAGAAGATATCACCTATAACCATCAGGTCTTGGATGGTTTCCAAGGCTAACAGAGCTTTCCCAAGGCTAGGAATGTTATTATATTCGGAATGCGAAATTGGAATATTCATGTTTCTTTGTTTTTTGGAACTATCATCACTATTAGTCACTTATATAATGCTGGATCTGTACGTGTTAAAGTGATTGCTGGTCCTCGAGATAATCTTTGTGAAATGCATGATAGCGAACTAAATGATTCCCGATTTATAATTTTATTTGAGAGAAATACATGATAGCGTCATTATGCGTGTAAACAACTGAAGAACTGTTATCGACTAAATGATTCCCATTTTATACCTTCATTTGATAACACCGAAAATGATTATCAACTAAATGATTACCGATTTATACTTTGATTTGAGATAATCTATACAGTATGTAGCAACCGATACATGATAATAATAGTCAAGGGCGCTTCGCATGAGACATATGTTATGTACAAGATTGGTACTGTTTACCATATATGATACATCCCATAGTGAAATTTTATAGATGTTGCCCCCTCCATGTTAATGGCATGGTACGCTTATTTTAATAATGTTCAACATCTTCAATTAATTTATTAATTGGACTAAATGACTTTCTTATTACTTTATAATGCCGACTAGTTTTGTTCTTCTAAAATAGAAGGTAATTAGGCTATCAAAATTATATATGTAGACGAAATTTTCCGAAAACATGGCCGAATCCGAAAGGTTCGAAATCTGAAGCGAAACTCTGGCCGAAATTTAAGAACATGGCCGAAATCATTTGGTATTCTGGCCAAATTTGTGGTGCCGGCCGGAATTATAAATCGCGTGATCACATATGTTACATGAATGTGACAATCAGTTCATAATGCGGGCCACAATGTATAGTGCTGGCCGGACAATTTCGGCCTGAATTTTGACTTTGGGGCAGTTAAATAGATCAGTTGACACAACTGCGCCTTATGTAACAAAATCACATGCTCAAAAATCACATGACCGAGTTTTTTTTTTGCTGAGAGACTTATCACGTTTGTTGTATTATTTTCTCCGTTGTGGGCTCTTTTAAAAGAAACTGACATATCGCAGTTTGAAAGAAGTGTTGAAAGAATTTTTGAAGTTCCGGACAAGATTTACGCAAATAAGGCAAATAAGGTATGGATGAAATATATTATTTTTTTCGGTGTGCATTTACAAGAAATCGATTGGGACAATGAAAATGGATTATGGATAATATATGTCAGTATAGGTAGTTTAGAATCAATGTAGAAATAACATTTCGCTTGTAAATTTATAAGCAGAATCATGTGATTCTTGTAACTATACTTCGTACACTCCATGTAAATTGGTATTAAAACAAGTTTATTAACTGGTAAACGTTTAATTAAATCAAATAAACAAGTATTTCTTTACTGGATAAAAAACAAAATAATAATAATAGTAAATAAATATTTAATATCAAATTTATAAAACAATTATAAATATGGACAATATATAATTAAAACATTCCATTTATGGCGATTACCTCATCTTTTCTTATCGAGAAAATCCCTATGATCATGGGATCGCCATTTATCTGTATGCTGTCAAAAGACAATGAAATTATGAAATTGATGCACGTAACACAGAAATTAATGATAGATTAATTGTGGAGATCAGCAGAATTAATTCCTATTATACTGCGGCAATCGCATTAATCAACATTGAGGCGCAAGGAATTCTCGATAGGATTAAAAACATCGAACTAGTCGTTAATGATCTCTATGAAGAAAAAAGACTTTATGACCTTATGTAATCTTCGACTGAAGAAGCACAGAGAGTCAATCAAAATGAAACAGAATCAATTACTTCAACTGTCAGCTCTTCTTCGTCCAATTTATCATTTAAAAGTGTTACGCACGATATTTTGACTCGTTTTAAACAGATTGTTGATAGAATTATGACTAAAAAAAAGTAAAAAATTTTTTAAGATAGGGATTAGAATATAAGATTAGCGTATGGGTTCAGAAAAAAGAAAAAGTAGTGGGAAGGAACTGCGGCAGTAGTTGAATTTCGACTCATACTTACTTTTATTCCTTCCTTTAAACGACAAATGCTCATTTCCTTTATTTTGTATTAGTTATTATATAATCGCGCTTTATCTTTAATCAGTTTAATGCCTGGAGGGCATTTCTTTGGAATGTACAGTATTTATTCCGCATTAATAATATTAATTTGTTTTCATATATCCATAATATGAGAACATAAAAATTATTGTTGTGGGAACATGCAGGGGAGGAGTAAACATATGATTTGTGATCATATAAGCGGAAATATTTTAGCTCCAAAAACGCCTACTTTTAAACTACTACGATAATTGGTGTGATAATATTAATAAATTTTTAAAATTGAGCGTTTAATAATATTAAAACTATACTGATAGTATTGTTATACAGTACCCGGAATTAAGTGATATAAATTTTTATATTTTTGTATAATTGATAGAATTATTTCTGTACGCCTCTCGATGACCTTATCCTAATATGTTTTTAAACTCAAGTATTTAACTTCATAAGTAATAATTAGTAATTCCGAATATTACAATCGTTCCAAAATTTGAAAGTCATACAAATAATATATTTAGAAAAATAACAAACAATTGTTTTATTTATAACATTATTCATTATTGTACATGCTGTTCTGGAATTCCAAATCCGAGATTATCAACAGAATGAATATAACTGGTTAAATTATATTGTATAATCGGGATATGGTTACACGTTATACATGCAGATTTTAATTAAATATAGTTAATATAATTTAATACATTTATCATTTTAAAATCAGAATTTTTTTTTTTTTTTTTTTTGCTTTTATGTTCTTTTTTGATAAAATTGATATACCCGATATGAACAAATATGTGACAATCAAAAACTTTAATAATAAAATTAATATTGATTAAATACTTATTTAAAGGAAACATAATTTATATCCCTATTTTTTTCATAAAAAAAAAGGGAAGAGAAACCCAATATATAATAATATACACACGCAAAAAATATTTTTCAAACATCGAGAAAATGTCAAATACGCTCTTAACTGCAGCATTAAGTGCTGTTACGAATAGTAATGTTATTTCATACGGTGAATATATTAAAAAACGAAATAATGGTTATATTCGATTGGATCATGAATATTTTCATCAATCGCATTTAATTCGTGGTAAAGTGCCAACCGATGATATGAATATCGAATTACGAAGTTACGTGATCATTAAATCATCATGGGATAAAATTATAACAGTAGATGTTGATTTAAATGAAACAATTAGTCAGTTAAAAGCAAAAATTCAAGATAAAGAAGGCGTACCAATTGATCAACAAATATTAATTTGTTCCGGTAAAGTAGTAGAAGGGAAAATTACTTTAAGAGATTATAAAATACAATATGGATATACCTTATATTTATTGATATTAAGTGATGGTGGTACTTATGGGTTATTTATTCATCCTGATATGCTTGACCGAAAATATGATTATGATTTTACAAATGAAAATGATGAAGGAATAACTTTCATGAGAGGAAATGTTGAATATAAACGTCCTTGTGGTTGGAATAGAATTGCTCTCAGTGTTCTTAATAAATACGAAGATAACAATTGGCTTGGTGTTAAGAACAGACGTTGTTTAACAAGTTCGGTACAAAATGAGTGGCCAGGTAAGAAAAAGAAAATATTTGCAATATTTAAAAGTAATATTTGAATATATTTTTTTATTTACTTATTTTATCAATAATTTATTAATTTTAATATTAGTTTCTTATCATGGAACTGCGAAACTTAACTGTCGATCAATTGCTGAAGATGGTTATCTTTTGAGTAAGGGTAAACGATTCGCATTCGGATATGGAATTTATTCTACTCCGGATATTAATATTGCGTATCAATATGCTACTAAATTTACTTATGAAGGTGAAAATTATAGAATTGTACTTCAAAATAGAGTTAATCCAAATAATTTAATTAAAATTCCGATAAAAAAAGTTGGTGAAATTTGGATTTCCCCTAATGAAGAAGATGTGCGTCCTTATGGTATTTGTATCAAAAAAGACGATTAATTATATAAATACGTTACGATATACTTGTCTATTTTATTATTATCATTAGAAAGTATTTTATCAATAATTTTCATATTTTATTAAATTGTTATCTATAAATCAAATAAATTTACTTTACATTATAAAACAATTTTACTTGTCAAATATTTTTTAAATAATTATTATAAAATACTAAAATACAGTCATAAATTTTATATTTGAACGTTTATTGATGCTAAACCTGCATAAATTAATTGATAAGTTATATTACATATAGCTCTAAAGAGCGGAAGTATTAAATGATATTTTCCCACATTGTGCTGGAATTTAATTCCGCTGTATCCGATTAATTTATGCATAAAGATTTTAACTAAATATAGTTACGCTTGTTAATCTGCTTTTGTTCAGCTCTGTATAAAAAATTGTAACAATAACAAATATTGTTAGAATTTCCTTTTTCGAAATTTTGGCGTTTCATCCCCTTATTTACATTTTAACAAATAAATGTCGATTTAATAAAATATCTTAGATGAAGCGACTGAAGCGTAATTTCGGTAATATCCCCTTTTTTAAAATTAATATCCCCTTTTTTTAAAATTGATATCCCCTTTTTTTTTAAAATCAATATCCCCTTTTTTAAAGAGTAAACCGAAGCCGATAAATAAGTAAATGATTTTTCTTTGAGAAAATAAATAAATACCTAAATTTGTTCTCATTAACTATTTTTATTTTCCTTTGTTAAAAAAAAAAAAAAATTCAAAAAAAAAAAATCCAAACAAAGGAGAACAAATGATTAATTATCAAAATGTCATGCATACATCGGAGTTCTTGAAAAATGTAAAATTTTTTATTACCTTAAACCTGTTGTCATTATCAGGTAAAAAATTGATTAACCTATTAAAGATTTTGAAAGGTTCTCGTGAATTTTTTTTTTTGGTAAAAATCATTGCAAAGTATCATGTAAAATGTTTATTCGTCTATTCGTATGTTTCACATATGTTTTGTACCAACTATAATCTAATAAACAAAATATAATGAAACATATGAATAATTCTTCTATTTTACTAATCATTATTCCTTTTACAGAAATTCATAACTAAAAAAGAACTCATGAAATACGCCCTCGATGATCACATTGTTATTATGTACTTTTTTATATAATTCATTTACATATCATGGTACTTCTTTTCCATCTGTCGTTAAAATCCGAAAAAGGAAATCGCATCGTGACTTTTGGCCAAGATTATGCTTACGTGTTCGGCCGAGAATCTGCAAATTTTATTAAGGCTTTATAAATTCCATAATAGTATCAAGTTACGTAGATCGTTTGTGTGAACAAATTATAATATTTAAAAAGATTTTTCCGGGTCTTCTCAATTTTAATAAATTCTAACTAAATTCTTATATTTATAATAATATTTTTTTGGAATTTTTTAATGTTACTCAAAGGTCACTCACTGATGGATGGTCCTTTTTGGTTACTGTCTAAAGTCTGTACGTTGAAAGCAAAAGTCATGCGTAACTTTCGTGACATATTGTAGATGGTCATCTAAGCCAAATTTCTTGTAGACGGTTGATGTAAAAATTTATATATATAGGACTTAAATTTATTTCATTTTTTTTTCAAAAAAAAAAAAAGAAAAAGAAAAAGAAAAAACTCTTAAACATTACCCTTTTTCTACAATATTCCACTCACATTTTGTCAAAATGGAAAAAAATCATTTTACCGTCGAATTTTTGGCAACATCATTGGTTGAAAAACTAGATAGGAAGAATATCTTCCCACCATTATTTAATGATCCAGAATTATTCGTTGCTTCAATTGAATCAAAAGCAAAAAAGCCACCTAATTCTTTCTTAATATGCAGACTCAATGTTTCCAAAGAAGCAAACAAGAGTGGAAACCATAATATGCGTACAATAAGTAAAACAGCAAGTATTTTATGGAACGGCGCCACACCTCAAGAAAAAAATGTTTATAAGAAGTTAGCTGAGCGGGTTTATGAAATTTATGCATTGAGATATTCACTTATATCTCTTTCATCTGAAGTTGAATCAACGGAACTTCAGAAAGTACCTTCCCTTTCATTAACACAACCTCCCATCTCCGTTCCATCCCCGACAGCCATAACACTAGAAACATTTCCACCTATTATTTATAATTATTATATTACAAGCTGCGATAACAGCGATGATCCATTTTTTTACAATGATAATGATAATCAAAATGAACATTTTTATTTTCTTCCTTATTATAATTATAATGAATACTATAATTTGTAGTTTTTTTTTTTTCATTTAAAAAATTTCATTTATAAATTTGTTTTAATCATTTAATATGTTGTTTACAATAAATTATCTATAAATGCCCTATAAAAAATTTTATCCGTTATTTCTGTAAAAATGAGCCTTTCACGAATCCATTCACGGAAAATGTAAATAATTCGATAAATTCCGAGATATAAGGTTATTAATTCCGGATATATGAGCGAGCCCTTTACGGAAAAAAGACGGAATATAAAAAACGAACCGATTTTTTTTACAGGGAAATGTATGATACTGAATAAATTTTTTATATTTATATTCTAATAAACAAATCTGTCACAAATTTCATAACTTAAGCCATTATAAAAAACTATAAATCATGGTTAAATGTTGCAAGTTAATTAATTAAAAACATATGGTTAGTACCGTAAATATTGAATGTTTCACATATACCGCGAAAGATGAAGTTGATAAAGTATATAAGGCAAATTGGATTGATGAGTATAAAAAACATGTTTATAATTCTAAAAAACTTTAGATAATCTAAATAATATTTTATTAGAGTCGTACTATCCGTGGCGTATTGAAAAAATGAATCATATAAAGAACGTACTAAAATTTTCAACTATCCGTGGCGTATTGAAAAAATAAAGAACCCTACATTCATTGATTCATGATGTTACCAATATGCAGCAGATATATTAATGTCAATTTTTTTTTTTAATAAAAGAAGATATTGTGATCGAAAAAACAATTTTTCCTTTCGATACAATCAAATAATCTATAAAGAAAAGTCGCTAATCATAATAATAAACAAATATATTCTATATATAAATATTTATTTGTTATAAAATTTTCTTGTAATTTTTACAAACTGTAAATATAGCAGAATTATATACATTTAGTCCCACCATTTCAATTATATATTGATTCTACTTAGGAAAGCAGTTTAACGTTAACATGTTTTAAAGTAAGCGATATCGATATCTTTATACGTGTAACATCCCAAGAACTTCATTAACTTATCGTAATACGTTGTACCACTTGGAGTGATGTCCGAGATGTTATATGATAAAGTAAAATTCGAAACCTAAAGATTTTAAATGAATTTTTGAAAGTAAATACGTAAAGTAAATACGTAATACAATATAGTAATATTTTTATTAAAGAAATTTCACTTACAGTATCTGTTTCTCTAATCATAGTATCGAGTATATTACCCCAAAATTTCTTTGACAGTCATAACAAATCGACCATATCACGGTATATTCGCGGTTATATATGATCTATGATCAACATATCATTGGCGGAGATGTTGGTATTCTCAATTTTCACCCCGACACTTGATTTACGAGCTCTTCAATAACTTCGGAAACAGGTCTAGGAGCGAAACTGAATTTATCATTGTCCAACTTTTCAAACTCCGCTTCTTGCGCCACTGCAGCCATGAATCTATCTAAGAATATGACGTCAACTACTTTTCTATTTACAACCACTTCCCATTTCGAACCTTCATAAACCATCATAATTAGTTACTGCAAAAATTCATGAATTAATAATGATTAAATGAATATGTACTCACCAGTAACCTTTTCAAATATCTCAAGGTACTCAAACGGAGACATGTTCGCGCCAGCAACAGTAATTTCAGAATTACGAGCTTCTGGCATTCTAAGTGACTCTACGATATATTTACCAAAATCGGAAAAAGAAGTGGTGGGAATCTTTTTGCTACCATCACCAAAGAATGTAGCTTTCTTCTTTTCGATATCAAACCCACACAGAAAAATCTCTTCTTGGAGTACTCCGAAATAAATATACGTATATTCGAGACCACTTTTTTCTACACTATCTCTAAATAATTTTTTATTATCCGTTAATGGATTAGCTCTATACCTTTGTTAAGAAAAAAAATCATTATAAATTTTATCATAAATTAACATACAACAAAAAAACAAAAAAAAAGGAAAGAAAAAAAACATACTTCATCTTTACACCAAATTCGGATGGGATGAACCTTTTTACCGAAGCATCTTTGGCAGCGTTTAATAATGGGGTTTGAACGTCATAATAGGACGCACCTCCTACAAAATCCATATTTAAAGCACTAATTAAAACATCGGTTCCTTGAAGTGCTTTGACGAGATCATCTTTTTTATAGTAATCCACGTATACAATTTCTGCTCCCTTGGAAGCCAACGATCTAGCCATTTCATTGCTGTCTTCTTCGTTTGACTTCCGTCGAAGAATTTTAATTCGATAGGAGCCATCTTCCAAAAATGCCTCAGCTATAAAATGGCCCACTTTACCCGTACCTCCAGCTATAGTTACGGTTTCGAAACTCATAATGACAGTTTTTTATTTAAAAAAGTTTATAAATTTAGATATATATTAGTTGAGAGATATTTATCAGTACTTAATAGTTCCTTTTCGTCAAAATCCACCTTATTTTTATACCTTTATAAATCGAATGATTATTAATAATTTATTATGTTTGTGATTATGTGTATCCTATATTGAGGTATTTCTTATTACCTGATGGTTCATGCAAAGTCGGACCAGAATATTCAGAATATTCCACATTATCATTAACACCACACTTTATTGGCGATTTATTGATTGAATATGCATATATGGAATAGTTTTCTATATACTCGGTCACTTAATCTTTGTATATTAATATTTTTTAAAAAAAAAACGGGTTGGCGTTTTTTTTTTTTCATAAAATCAAGAGCAAAAAAAAAAAAAATATCAATAATCTTTTTTTGAGAAGTAATGTTCTAAAAAAAGGAAGCTGGATCCCAACTCTAGCGCCAATATGCATTGAAACTTCCAATCATCCATTTTTTAATTGTTTCATTTAGAACAGCAGCCGATAAAACTTTTTGTGTGGGAAATCATTTGTAGAAATTTGTCACACTAAAAAAAAAATTTTTGAAATATCATATGCAGGAGTTTATTATTATTACTTTATAAATCAGATAATTGTTCTGCATATCCAAACTTTAAAAAAAAATTGTTATTGTAATCTACTTTTGGTAAATTTTTTTTTTTCTTCTTTTTATTTTTTATTTGAAAAACTATATAGTATTAAATCTATGCGAAACAATTAAAAAAAAAAAAATTACAAACTCCGAAATACTTACCCAAAAAAAATTAGCAGAATTCTTTGATGGATTCATTATTTGAACGTTTATATCATATATATCTATATAATAATAATAAAAAAAAAAATTTTATTCTTATTTGGTCATGTAATTAATATAAACAAATTATTTTAAGTTTTATTTATAGTAATTATCAGAGTTCTTTTTAAGAACAAAATAATATCCTATCAATATCGAAACACAGTTCTAGGATTTTTTTTGTTTCAATAATTACCGGAATATCAAATCTTTGTAATTATTTTAATTTTTTGTTATTGTTATTTGTTTTTGATAATTTATTAATTGTTAAAGAGAAAAAAAAGAATTTATTAAAGAAAAAAAAAAAGAATTTTTTCAAACGAAAAAAAAGTTTCTGTTATTAACGTTTAATGATGGTTCTATAAAAAAAAAATTTATTCTGTATAATCATATTCCCGGAATTTCTAACCTCAAAACATTGGAAATTAACCCAAATTGCTTAGATTTTCACGGAGTTATTACAGAAATTCGGATAAAAATTTTTCACGGGGTAGGACAATTAAATTACATCAATTATACTAATTATACTGGTAAGTATAAAAAATTGTTATATGTCGATGTCACTTTTAATCGGGTGACACAACATAATCAAAGATTCGACTTTGTTAAGATTGCAATAAAAAACTCTCATGCATAAGCGGTAAATTAAATAGATTAAATATTATTATAATATTATAATATTTAATTTTTTTTATTGTAAATGAAACAGCGGTAGATTAAATATTATTATAATTGATTTATATGTATATTATTACAATATCTTTAAAAATATTTACAAGGAAATTTCTAATTAAAAATGTTTCGATCCTGCTTTTTATCCGAATTTTTCATTTTATTTTCTCTAAAAACTATTAAGCCTCAGAAATAAAATCATGTGATATGATATCAAATACTGAGAATGTTCGCATGGAACCGATCTATCGCTTTATTTATTATGCATTTAAACAGACGTAATTTATCCGGTTAACTTTTTTTGAACAAATCATTTAGAGGGTTATTTGAATTGTTTGGTGCTTTACGTATAATGCATTTCCATAAATATTATTATTGATAACAAATTCTAATAGAATAAACCAATAATATCTTTATCGAATGTGATATCGGTCAAAGACCGATAATATTTTTATAATTACAATTCTCATATATGTATATACCCGCGTTAATTGTTTAATTATATTTTGCGTTTTATATTTTGCGGTTTATAAAAAAAAAATACTTTATAATTAAATTACATAAGATATTGCAATTATACTGAAAAATATAAAAAATTGTTATGTCGATGTCACTTTTAATGGGTGACACAACATAATCAAAGTTTCGACTTTGTTAAGATTGCGGTAAAAAAACTCTCATGCATAAGCGGTAGATTAGATTAAATAATATTATACTATCATAATATTTAATTTTTTTTATTGTAAATGAAACAGCCGCGGTAGATTAAATATTATTATAATTGATTTATATGTATGTATATTGTTACAATATTTTTAAAAATATAAACAAAGAAATTTCTAATTAAAAATGTTTCGATCCTGCTTTTTATCCGAATTTTTCATTTTATTTTCTCTAAAAACTATTAAGCCTCAGAAATAAAATCATGTGATATGATATCAAATA